CCCGGCAGTTTCCCACTACTGCCAATCCCTTTTTAATAGTATTATGATAATTGCTCAAGGTCCGTTACAAGTGAGAACATATGGTACTCTGTTCTTTGTTTCTGTGATAGATCACTAAGTATGATCGACTCTAAATTTATCCAAGTTGCTGCGAAGTCCGTATGTTTGTCCTTCTTTATGACTGCATAATGTTCCATTGTGTATATGTACTACATTTTTTTTATCCAGTCCAGCTTCGATGAACAGTATGGTTGGTTTCATGTTTTTGCTATTGTGAATAGAGCTGCAACAAGCATGCATGTGCAGGTGTCTTTTTGGTAGAATGACTTGAGTTCCTCCAGGTTTATTCCCAATAGGGGGATTGCTGGGTCATATGGAAGGTCAATTTCTAGTTCTTTCAGAAATCGCCACACTGTCTTCCAAAGAGGTTGCAGTAGTTTGCATTCCCACTAGCAGTGTAGAAGCATTCCCTTTTCTCCGCATCCTCATCAGCATCTGTTGTTTGTTTTATTAATGATGGTCATTCTTACTGGGGTTAGGAGGTATCCCAATGTGGTTTTGATTTGCATATCTCGGATGATTAGTGAGGCTTATCTTAACAATATCTTGTATCCTTATTTGCCAATGATGTTGTGTCAATCATCTAGGTGCACTTTAAGTAGGTCCTCTGATTGGACCTATACTTAAAGTGCACCTAGATGACTGACACAACATCAATTGGCAAATAAAGATACAAGATATTGTATCTTGTTTATTACACATTACACCTTGAACAAATCATCTTTGCTTTTATTTGTTTCTTAAAAGAACTTAAAGACACTTGTAATCTGAGTGCAACATATTTATAGATTTTTACTGTTTTCCAAATTTTTACGATAATTCCACATAGCTAATTCCACAGCAACTGGTTTTGGTGATTAACTTTTATCTCTTGTTTCCAAAGCCTAAATTTTCTTTTTTGGGGTGGGGGTTGGAGTCTCATTCTGTCACCCAGACTGGAGTGCACTACCACATCCAGTCTCAAACCCCTGAGTTTAGGCAATTCTCTTGCCTTGGCCTCCCAAAGTGCTGGGATTACAGGCTCGAGTCACTGAACCTGGTCCCAAAGCCTAAATTTTAATTAATTAATTAATTAATTAATTTCTCTCTCTTTCTCTTTTTCTCTCTTTACCTCTCCCTCCCTCTCTCTCCCTCCCTCTCTTCCTTCCTTCCTTCCTTCCTTCCTTTCTTTCTTTCTTTCTTTCTTTCTTTCTTTTCTTTCTTTCTTTCTTTCTTTTTCTCTTCTGTCTTCCATTTTTCTGAGTTGGGGTTCTCACTCTGTCACCTATGATGGAGTGTAGTGGCATGATCACAGCTTACCTCACCCTGAAACTCCCGGGCTCAAGCGATCCTCCTGCCTCAGCCTCCCAAGTGGCTGGAACTACAGGCACACACAGCCACATCTGGCTAATTTTTTGATTTTGTGTAGTAACAAGGTCTTGCTATGTGGCCTAGGCTGGTCTCGAACTCCTGGCTCAAGCAGCCGTCTCGCCTTAGCCTCCCAAAGTGCTGTGCCGGACCACTATTCTTTCTTTATTACTTTTCATGTATTATGTTTGCATATCATCTAATGTAAAGGAAATGACTATAATTACATACACAAGTTGGAAAGTTTGCATCGTCGTCAGCCCCTGGGAGCAGATGTATGTGATGGTAGTCAGGATGTCGTATGAAGGGAATGAGGAGCATGGAGTAATCCAGCAGGACGATTAAGTAAAGACTTAAGAGTTTCTGCTGTCGTCTTCTAAGTGTATATAAAATTTAGGAAACAGCCGGGCTCGGTGGCTCAGCCTGTAATCTCGCGCCTTTGGGAGGCTGAGGTGAGTGGATTGCCTGAGCCCGCGGGTTCGAGACCCGCCTGGGCAGGCGAGACCTCAACTCTACAATAAATAAAAAAATAAGCCGGGCGTGGTAACGTGCGCCTGTAATTCCAGCTACTAGGAAGGCTGAGGCGGAAGGATCGCCGGAGCCCAGCAGGTCGAGGCTGCGGTGGCCGGGAGCAGCCACTGCACTCCAGTCTGGGCGACAGAGTGAGACTCCAACTCAAAAAAAAAAATTTAGGAAACATAGAACCAAAAAAAATTCAGTTGTTTAAACTAAATTATAATTATGATATCAGACCCTGAAGGTCTTTGAGTAAAACTTATTTGCTGTTCTGACTCCTGTACCACTTTGGACCGATTAGATACACATACTCATTTTTTGTTCTGACGAGATGGCAGTGGTATTTAGAAAGTATGTTTTATAACTTTAGATTTATTACACCCTTTTCCATCAACATTTTCTTTACAGATACAACCAAAACAAGTGTCTGGAGGACAAAACCCAGTTTCATATGTGTATTTGGAAGTTGTATCAAAGCATTTTTCAAAATCAAAAAAAGTACCAATAACCTACGACAATGGATTTCTCTTCATTCACACAGACAAACCTGTTTACACTCCACACCAGTCAGGTACAGTATAAGATGATTCTTTCTCTTGTGGGGGGGAGTTACACTATATTATAGAGCTTTAACAAACCTGAAATTGATTGGAGACAGGTTTCCAATTTGCTTAAAAGAGTCTCAATTTCCGGGCCGGGTGCAGTGACTCAAGCCTGTAATCTCAGCACTTTGGGAAGCTGAGGTGAGAAGATTGCCTGAGTCCAGGGGTTCAAGATCAGCCTGGGCAACTTGGGTGAGATCTTATCTCTACAATAAATAAAAAAATTAGCCGGGCATGGTAGCGCGTGCCTGTAGTTCCAGCTACTTGGAAGGCGAAGGTGGAAGGATCACTGGAGCCCAACAGATCGATGCTGGGGTGGTGGTGAGCGTGCTACTGCACCCCAGCCTGGGCTACGGAGTGAGACTCCAACTCAAAAAATAATAATAATAAAACAAAATAAATAGTCTCAATTTCCAATGACTTTTATGCTTTCAACTAACATTTTAATTTTAAATTTATAGAGAAATCTCTAAACACATTGCAAAATCAACAATTATAGATCTGCTTTATCAGTTATTTCCAAGAAAAAAAAGCTTTTAAAAAAATTGTAAAATGTGTTGGATCTTTTCTATTAAATAAATATAAGGCTTAATTCAAATACAATTTTGGCAGTGGGAAAATAATGTGAAAAAAAAATCTATAGATTTTGGATCTAATCCCCAAATTGGGAAAAATAAGTTTAACCCTAGGGGATCAGATGTTTTGGCAGAAAATAAACTAGATCACAAAAATATATGAATATTCTTTAAAGGGGGCCTCCCTAAGAAAGTTTCTGAACATTGTTTCATATGCATGGCTCTTCTGGTAGAGGGGAAAGGACAGAAGAGCCAGTCAAAACCATGGGAATGAGGAATGACTGGATTCATTTTGAATGAACCCAAAGTAAAACGCAGAAAAGTGTAAGTGCTCCCCAATATGTTCATGTGTTTGCAAAATCTTCAATTCTCCAAGTTCTCCCTCTCACTGTCATTAACTTTTTGAGCAAATTAGAATAAAATAGGAGAGATGTGTGTGATTGTTGGGGGTAGGACAGAGAAAAGAAGATAGGACCAGCTGGCTTTGTTGAAAAACTGCACTCTGTGGATACTTGCCAAATGTTGGTTGATGTTGAGGATGACAGTAGTAACGTGGAGCTAGGCTATATCGTCACCGTGTTCGCAGGAGCACCTGTTATGATCAGCTCAGAAAGGAAATGCCTAGAGACGATTGGGATGATGCTACCTGCTTGGCCAGCATATCATTGCTGGAGTAATACCATCTCTTAACTCTGTGAAGATGACTTGGTGTACAAGGAAATAGTATCTGCCCATCAAGGTTGGGTCCTCTTAAACATAATCATACCAAGAAACAAGCATGTTTTCACCCTTGTCCTCCTCCTGTATTAGAGGATGCTTCATTAATTGGACCCTACTGACACCACCTCCAACTTGGGGTCATCAGTCTTTGTCTAATAAGTCATCTAATACCCAGAGCCTGGGACTTTTCTTTGTTATCAAGGCTTTCCTTAAGAACTGCCTTAAGTATTATTTCTCTATCAGGACGTTACTGTAAAATGTGGCCTACTCATCTATTCTAATCATAAAGGAAAACAGGAGAATTTTTCTCTGAATATTTCCCATTCATGAGAAGAAGTGAAGTAAAGTGGTTAAAAGCAGACTCTGAGGCCAGATTGCTTGGGATCAAATCCCAGCTTGGGCTGTTATTAGCCATGTCTCTCAGATCTCCCATTTTCTCATCTGTAAAATGGATACTAATACAACTTACCTCATAGAGTTGTGAGAACTAAGTGAATTCAAATGAGCAAAGAACTTAAAATAGTGCCAATCACCTAGTAAGCACTAGGAAAGTGTTTTCTGTTATTATCTGTGGAATAGCACAAAGTCTTATTAATGTGAAAGAAAAATAATTCATTACAAGTATTTTTTTTCTTAATCAATATTTTTTATTATGGTTTTATGGGGTACAGTTAAGGGTTAGGTGTACAATAACATTTCATTCAGGCACCCTGTTGATAAGAGGTGTTTTCCCACCCCCAGACAGATACTTGTTACTGTTAATCCCATCCCCCCCCATAGTTTCCCAGTACCGTCAGTCATTTTCTTAGAGTATTACATTGGATGTTCAAGGTCCATTATATGAGTGAGAACATTTGATACTCGGATCTTTGTTTCTGTGAGAGGTCACTCAGTATTATAGACTCTAGTTCCATCCAGGTTGCTGCGAAATTCATGATTTTGCTCTTTTTTATGACTGCGTAGTATTCCATTGTGTATATGTACCACATTTTTTAATCCAGTCCTCTTTTGATGAGCAGCATGGTTGTTTCCGGGTTCTTGCTATTGTGAACAATGCTGCGATAAACATACGTGTGCAGGTATCTTTTTTATAGAGTGATTTGAGTTCTTCAGGATATATTCCCAGTAGGGGGATTGTGAGATCATATGGAAGGTCGATTTTTAGAGCTTTTAGGAATCGCCACACTGCTTTCCACAGAGGTTGCACTAGTTTACACTCCCACCACCAGTGTTCCCTTTTCGCCACACCCTCTCCAGCAGCTGTTATTTTTGAGTTGTAGATAATTGCCATTCTGACTGGAGTTAGGTGGTATCTCAGTGTGGTTTTGATTTGCATCTCCCTGATGATTAGTGAGGTTGAGTATTTCTTCATGTGTTTGTTGGCTGCTCGGATGTCTTCTTTTGTGAAGTGTCTGTTCATATCTTTTGCCCATTTAATAATGGGGTTGTTTGTTTTCTTCTTTTCAGTATGTTTCAGTTCCTTGTAGATCCAGGATGTTAAGCCTTTGTCAGACCTAGAGTTGGCAAATACTTTTTCCCAGTCTGTAGGCTGTCTCCCTGCTCTCTTGATGGTTTCTTTGGCTTTGCAGAAGCTTGTCAGTTTAATAAGGTCCCACTTGTCTATATACTCTCTTATGACCTGTGGGTTTCGGGTTTTGTACAGGAATTAGATGCAGTTCCGATTTCCATGAGGGTATTTCCTTCCTTTTCTAAGGTTCTTATGGTTTGAGGTTTTACATTTAGGTC